TCGAATCTTCGATTGAAGATTCGAGAAGCTGGAGGTTGATTCGAGGCAAGCGGTTAACAGATCTATAACGAGGGTGGTCAGGGGGTGTCTTGGTGTGAGTTTGGGACTGGTTGGGGTGGGTTTCAAGTTTGCTCGAATCTTCGATTGAAGATTCGAGAAGCTACAGTCTGATTCGAGCAAAACGGTTAAGGGATTCGTGGAGAGGATGGTTAGGTGCCCTAGGGGTGTTAGTTTCAAAGTCATCGGCGTCATTGCTACTGGCTTTCAGGCGAAGGGGTTTCAAGGCGGCTAGGGTTTGGAGGGTTGTTTGGCTTGGTCTCTGAAGGAGACGATGAACAGGGGTGTGGCTTAGGGAGGGTGTGAGGTGAGAGGTTGGGTTTATATACGGAGGGGGTAGTCTGGCCTTGGTCGTTGGATCAGGCACGATCAATGGCCTGGATCAATTCATTTAAAAGAGACAGTGTCGTTTTAAGATAGTGCTGGGGCGGGGTCAATCCGGGGGAAAGTGGGTCGGGTTGTGGGGATTGTTCTGAAGCGTTGGATCAAATGAAATGGGTGGTCTGGATCTATCGGCTATATACGACGTCGTTTGGACATATCTGGGGATTGACTGGACCGTTCGATCAAGTGAGATCAATGGCCCATATTTTTCATGCCAAAACGGCGTCGTTCCATCTGCCCTCAAGGTTGGTTGGGTTGGACCGGGCAAGAGGGTGTTTGGACTGGGCCTGGACTCTCTTTTACGATTGGCCCAGTCCGATTTTCTCTTGTTTTTCTTCTTTTTCTTCTATTTTCTTTTTAATTCAAAATTCCTAAATTGAATTGAAAAACCAAGATTATTTAAAAAGATATTAATTAACCCTTAAAAACAATTAACACACAAAATCGAAAAATAAAATCGCACAATTTAAACAATAAAATGACAAACTACCGGAATTCATATTTTTTGTGATTTTCATTCTTTAAAATAGGACGTGGTTTAATTAATTCCAAAATGCATAATTAAATCCTAAATGCATATGCAACACATATTTTTGTATTTTTCTCATTTAAAGTAGAAAGAAACATGCGCAGACAGAAACACAAATAAATTGCAAACAACACAAAACCATTTTGTTTTGAATTTTTGGGAGTAGTTCTCATAGGGCAAAAATCGCGTGCTCACAATTACTGCCTATTACACGCGAATGAAAATATTATGGGAAGAATTGAGCAATCTAAGTGCAAAATCTCAGTGCACTTGTGTTTGTACGTGTGGGTCAAAGGATAATATGCATAAGGCAGAGCAGGACAGGCGACTTATTCAATTTCTGATGGGCTTGAATGAAGTGTGCACAACAATGCGGGGAAGCATTTTGATGATGAAACCTTTGCCATCATTGGCGCAAGCCTTCTCTTTATTGGTGCAAGAGGAAAAGTAAATGGAGTTCAAACCAAACAGTCAATTGAACCTGGAGTCTACCTCACTTCATGTGAATGTTGCACCTTCACAACATCAGAATCCCTTTGGAGCTCGAAATTTCAAGACACATTATACAACCAACTCAAGCCAATTCAAGGGCCGACTATTCTGTGACTACTGCAAGAGGCCAGGCCATACAAAAGACAAATGTTACAAATTACATGGATATCCCCAGAGCAATTCCTATAATAATCAAAGCTCAAATCGTACTAACACTCAACAGTTCAATTAGGGAAACAACTCAGGTCAAACTCAAGGTCACAAATTCAACAGAGGTAAAGGAGCTGCAGCAAATATGCATGGAACTCCTGCTGATCTGATGCGGGATAAGGAAGATGAGTCAATCCCACACAATGAAAATCAGAATGTCAGCTTGACAAAAGAGCAATATGGGCAAATAATGAATCTGCTACAACATTTTCAGACAGGAGGACCTTCCAGCAATGCCAACATTACCAATGGTGCTATTAACTTTGCAGGTATTGTGGTCTGCACTTCTTTTATTGATTTTGACAAACCATCGTGCAAATATTTCGAATCTAAGATTGACTTTTGGATCATAGACTCAGGAGCCTTTAATCACATGACTTTCAATAAAAAATGCTCTTGGTAACATAACAATACTACCATACCCTGTTTTAATAAGCTTACCAAATGGATACAAGGTGAATGTGCTTCAATTTGGGGATGTGATACTTAACTCTAAGATTATTCTACGCAAAGTCCTCCATGTCCCATCCTTTAAGTACAACCTAATTTCTGTAAATTCTCTTGCAACACATCTCAGGTGCATTGTGTTATTCACTGATACACTATGTCTGTTGCAGGCTCCTTCAGTGAAGAGGCCTCAGGTGATTGGTAGTAGCAGAGAGGGATTATACTACCTCTGTTCTAGGTGTCTAAAGTGTAAAAGTTCTGTTTCAGATACTAGTCTTCCAATTTCTTGTTGCAATTGTTCTGTTTCTGCTGGTATAAGTAGTGGAGTCTTTAGTAGTCCTCTTCATTCACAGCCTTGTTCAATAGATGTAAATACTTCCATTCACAATAATAAGAGTGACTTTTTGAATACTTTAGATAAACATGAAGCAGATACTTTGTGGCATAATAGGCTTGGCCATGTTCCCTTTGTCAAAATGAGAAAGATATCCTCAATACCTGTAAACTCCTCACCCAAACAACCTTTCATTTGCTCCATTTGTCCCATGGCTAGACCAGTCAGACTTCCATTTTCACAAAGAACCGGCACCTCAAACCACATTTTCCAATTGATACATGTTGATATATGGGGCCCCTATCATGTTGCTACACACAATAATTACAAATATTTCCTTACCTTGGTGGATGATTTCAGTAGGTCCACTTGGACTCATTTGTTAAGCAACAAAAGCAATGCCCTACAAACACTTAAAGCCTTCATAAATATGATTGAGAACCAATTTAACACTACTGTAAAAACCATCAGATCTGATAATGGATTGGAGTTCACCAGTCATGAAGCCACTTCCTTCTATCAAACTAAAGGAATCATTCACCAGAAAACTTGCCCTTATACCCCACAATAAAAGGGGTAGTGGAAAGAAAACACAAGTATCTCCTTGAAACATCTAGGGCACTTATGTTTCAATCCAAACTCCCAACTAACTATTGGGGAGAATGCACTTTGACAACAACTTACTTAATCAACAGACTACCTACTACCTACCTAAACAACAAGTATCTTTTTGAAATTTTATACCACAAGAAACCCAACTACTCTCATTTGAGAAGCTTTGGATGTCTCTGTTATCCTACTGTACCTAAGGTGTACATGGACAAACTTGAACCCAGAACTACCCCTCATGTGTTTGTGGGCTATCCTTTTGGGACAAAGGGTTACAAAGTGTTAAGCCTAGCCACTAAGAAGATTCATGTTTCTAGAGATGTAATATTTCATGAAAGTGTCTTTCCCTTCTCTTTAAAGTCCAAGAATGTCTCTCTATATAACAGTCTTAAGTCAGTCTCCCTTCCAGTCTGTTCTCAGAATGACAATCCACACTACAATACACAAAATCCTACTAGTATCACATCTCCAGGTGTGCCTCAATCCCATGTATCCTCACCTGCTATTGATACTACAATGTAGACATCAAACATCCCGTCTTTTAACCATTCCCCTATCCCTGCAACTTTACATGAAGTTCTCAGTCCTCATTTACCAACATCTGCTCAATCAGATTCACCTCCTTTAAGAAGAACCAATAGAACTCATAAAACCCCTACATACCTTCAGGATTATATCTACACTCTACCTAAAATATCACATCCTAGTGTTCCTCAGGATTCATCCTCTTTGAGTGCTCCTTTCTTCAATCACAACCATGTTTCACTAGATGTTCTATGTCCTGAAAGTCAACATTTAGTGATAAATATTTTTTTTCATGATAGTGAGCCATCATCATATGGAGAGGCAACTCTCAGTCCTGCATGGCAAGCAGCCATGACCCAGGAGTTTGAGGCCCTCTATGCAAATAACACTTGGGACTTAGTCCCTTTGCCAGCTGGAAAGCAGGCAATAGGCTGTAAATGGGTATATAAAATTAAACACAATGCAGAAGGTAGCATAGAAAGGTTTAAGGCTAGACTAGTGGTAAAGGGGTATACCCAACAAGTAGGGATTGGCTATACAGAGACCTTCTCCCCTGTTGTGAAAATGACAATAGTTAGAGTTTTGGTCACTGTTGCTATGAAGAAAGGCTAGGATATATTCCAGTTTGATGTAAATAATGCATTCCTTCATGGTGACTTATATGAAGAAGTGTATATGGAGGTACCACCAGGTCTCTTAATTGACCAGACAGGTTCACAAAAGGTGGTTTGCAAACTCAACAAGTCATTGTATGGGCTAAAGCAAGCCAGTAGACAATGGTATTCCAAGTTGACTGAAGCCCTATCATCAATGGGGTATAGACATTCTGAGAATGACTATTCACTCTTTTCCAAGAAGACTTCTTCTCATATTATATTTGTAGTTGTATATGTTGATGATGTTATCATTACTGGGGATGATTCAGTTGAGATAGCCAATTTGAAATCATTTCTTGATAAGCAATTCAGAATCAAGTATCTTGGGAAACTCCATTACTTCTTGGATCTAGAGGTTCTCTACAAAGCAGATGGTGTCATCATGTCTCAAAGGAAGTTCACCCTAGATTTGCTGAAGGAATATGATTGTTTTGACTACAGTAGTTTGTCCTCTCCTCTTGACCCTATTGTGAAGTTAAAAGCTAATGAGGGCACTCCTCTTCTAGATCCTACCTATTACAGAAAGTTAGTGGGAAAACTGAATTTTCTCACTAACACACGACTTGACATAGCCTACAGTGTACAACTTCTTAGCCAGTTCATGCAAGCACCTAGAGATACACATTTGACAGCAGCATTTCATCTCCTCGGGTATCTCAAGAGTGATCCCACACTTTCCATATTCTTTTCCAACAACACTGATTGTTCCATCAGTGCCTGCTGTGACTCTGACTGGGCATCATGCCCTGACTCTAGAAAATTTGTTACTGGGTACATTGTTTTGGTTGGAGACAATCCTATTAGTTGGAAATCAAAGAAGCAGGAAACCATTTCCTTATCCTCAGTTGAGGCAGAATACAGGTCCCTCAAGAAGGTGGTAGGAGAACTGGTATGGTTGAACATATTATTTGAAGAGTTTAATGTTCCATAGTCCAGCCCCATTGCTGTCTTTTGTGACAGTCAATCTGCCATCCACATTGCTCACAATCCAGTTTTTCATGAAAGGACAAAATACATCGAAGTTGATTGTCATTTTGTACGGAACAAACTTCAGGAAGGCTTGATTTCTCTCCACCATGTGGCCACCAATGATCAATTAGCTGATATACTTACCAAGGCACTCACTGGGGTTAAACATCATGCTGTACGTGGCAAGTTGGTTGTGAGATCCTCCCATCCACCTTGAGGGGGGGGGGTACTGAGATATGTTTAGTTAATAGTTAATCTCTAGATCTTTAGTTATTGCTAGATATTGGTTAGTAGTTAGATACAGTACTGTCATATTAGCTATTAGCTATTAGTTAGCTAAGTTAATTGTATAGCTGGCAACAGTACGTGTACATATACATAGATGTTGTAATAGTGGAAATAAGATGAGAGTCATTTTTCACATCTTTATTTTCCTCTGCTCTCCTCTCAGATATTTTCTTCTCTCTTTCGAACATTCTAGATCCTCCATTGAAGCTCTTGTAAGAGCTTCATCTTAGCTCAGAGTAAGAAGCTTAATAGACACCTTTTGTCATAAAATTACATAATGTAAATAAATAGGTAAAAAAATTTATGTGTTGAATCTTCTTGACTGCTTCGTCTACTTATTTCTTTATATTCTGATTTTCTTTGGTAAAAATTCTCTAACGCTGCCATTGCTAATGAATATATATATATATATGATGCAATCAGTGGCAAAGCCAGAAATTTCATCTTGGGTGTTCAAACTTGAATGAAGTAAAAGAAATACCCAATAAAGAGTGTCAATATATATTATATACCACTAAAATCTAATATTCTACATATATATACAGTAGGGGTGTACATGGACCGGGTTGGTTCGGTTTTTATCAAAACCAAATCAAACCAACTATATCGGTTTGGATTGGTTCAGTTTTGTCGGATTTTTTCGGGTTTTTAGGTTTTTTTTGTTACATGAATATTATTTCAATCTTATTTTGTTAAAATTATGGATAAAGCTTTGATAAGTGAATATATGTTTAGTAAATATGGAAAAAATTGACAAACATATGATCTATTAAAATATTCTAATGGGAGAATTTTTTTAGTAATACGTGATAGTTATTTTCTTAGTCATCTAAGAATAATTTTTCGTTAATTTACGCTTTCAAGGTTAATACATGAGAGGATCCCAAATATTTCTACGTTTTCTAAAGAAAATTCACTATAAAGTCTTAAAAATATAAATAAAATTTATATATTTATATGTCGGTTTGGTTCGGGTTTTTTTATACTCAATACCAAACCAAGTCAAACCAAACTTAGTCGGGTTTTTTAATCAGTTTGATTTTATTTTTCGATTTGGTGCGGTTTTCCGGTTCGATTTGAACACCCCTAATATACAGTTTAATTTTTCGACAAAGGGTGGTGACCACCCTTAGTTCTATGTAGCTTCGCCCCTGGATGCAACAGGTTATACACCATCAGTAGCACCGTGCCAGGCAACAGTAAATTGCAATATTAACTGCGGCAAAGGAGGTTCTCCAATTTGCGTCCACAACACCTGCTTGTGCTAACGATGCACCTTATTCTTCCCTCCTCTTCCAACTGAATCTTTTGTAAGCCAAGAATGCACAAATTCCAGTTGTAAAATTTAAGCTTGCACCCTCATACAAACAGTATTGAAAAAGAGATTACCCTTAGTATCAATGTTCTCTTAGAAGTTATTACAACTTCTATCGTCTTCTAGAGATTTGGTGCAAGTATTTTTAAGGATCAATGACAAAGTTGAGGGTGTAAAAGAAGTTAAATTTCTTTGAATATATTAACGCCATATGACATAAAACTTGATTTTGGTATTAAGCATATTTGAGGATCAAAAATGAAATTTTCCTTTCACTATAAAATGAAGAAATACCGAAAAGATGTTTCACTTATATATTTGCAATAAGTTATACAACAAGAAAAGATATCAAACAAGGAATTTTGACCTCTTAGAGTCAGTGGCAGAGTCAGGATTCAGTGGCGAAGCCAGGAATTTCATCTTGAGTGTTCAAACTTGAATGAAGTAAAAGAAATACTCAATAAAGAGTGTTCAATATATATTATATACCACTAAAATCTAATATTCTACTTATATATACAGTAGGGGTGTACATGGACCGGGTTGGTTCGGTTATTATCAAAACCAAATCAAACCAACTATATCGGTTTGGATTGGTTCGGTTTCGTCGGATTTTTCAGGTTTTCGGGTTTTTTTTGTTACATGAATATTATTTCAATTTTACTTTGTTAAAATTATAGATAAAGCTTTGATAAGTGAATATATGTTTAGTAAATATGGAAAAAATTGACAAACATATGACCTATTAAAATATTCTAATGGGAGAATTTTTTTAGTAATACGTGATAGTTATTTTCTTAGTCATCTAAGAATAATTTTTCGTTAATTTACGCTTTCAAGGTTAATACATGAGAGGATCCCAAATATTTCTACGTTTTCTAAAGAAAATTCACTATAAAGTCTTAAAAATATAAATAAAATTTATATATTTATATGTCGGTTTGGTTCGGATTTTTTTTTACTCAATACCAAACCAAGTCAAACCAAACTTAGTCGGGTTTTTTAATCAGTTTGATTTTATTTTTCGATTTGGTGCGGTTTTCCGGTTCGATTTGAACACCCCTAATATATAGTGTAATTTTTCGACAAAGGGTGGTCAGTTGACCACCCTTAGTTCTATGTAGCTTCGCCCCTGCCAGGATTTATATAAAGGGGTGTCAAAATCTAAAGAAGAAGCCAAGAAAAATAATTCTACTATTGATAGCAAAATAATATTACATTATTACAAGCATACTCGACGGGGTTTTATTTCTTGAAATGTTTTTACAATATCTATCATTAGAAATAGTACTAAATACATCTTTCTCTACGTAAGGCACCAAGCAACCACTCAAAAGTTCATCATTCATTCGATTCTGCATGCCATTCTTGATAAACTTCATTGCCGAAAAAGCTCTTTCAACTGATGCAGTTGCAACTGGCAAAAGCAAAGCAAATTTTACCAAGCAGAATACAAGAGGGAAGTTTAAATGCTTCTTTGTCTCAACTAATTTTCTTGAAAGATCACAAAATCCGTTCAAATTGGAGAACCTTTCATCAATATCACGGACATCAGTAATGGATGTCGCAAGTTGATTCTCAAGAGCACCCATACTAACTTCATCAAAGTCATCAGGATATAATTTAGCCATTTTCATGATCTTCTTGATGTCAAAACTAGAAAATGAGTCAATTGGATTCAAACAAGCAACTCCATGAAGCAAATTAGTAGTCACTTCGTCAAAACGGCCATTGAATTCTTGAATTTTCCAATCAATAATATTACAGAATACACCAACATAATAATGATGGAAAATAGTATGATCGGCAGATTTATGTCATGATCTTAAAGAGTTAACGTGTGTCACATCAAAATTAGGTACTAAAATGCCATACTTGATACAAAATGTAGATACTTTTTCAATAAGTGAATCTCAATCATCTTCTCTTAAACTTTGCAACCTTCTCTTTGCTACTTCTATAAGTAGCATGGCATTTGTAATATCTTGCTCCTTTTTTTGTAAGAATTCATTTAGTTCATTTGTGATTGCTAAAACATCTGTCATTAAATGCAACATGAATGCAACCTCAAATGTTTGACAAGCTCTGAGGTATCCCATTGCCTTGGCTCTCTCATCCATCAAACGTGCATCAACAACAAGTGCTTCAAGAACATGAAGAATAGAGCCAAACATAAGAATAAAATTTTTAAAAGATTTGTAATGAGAACCCCAACGAGTATCAAAAGCCCTTGAAAGACCAAGTTCTTGATTCAAGCCTCTACCGGTTTTAAGCTCACTCATATCTAATGCCTCTTCAATTCTTTGCTTTTGAGATTCTCAAAATTCATCCATACGCTTAAAAGAAGATCCCAACACATTCAAAATATTTGAGACCCAAAACTACAAGTTCTCCTACTTGAATATATTTTTTTGAAACCGTAAGAAGAGATAACTGAAGTTGATGAGCAAAACAATGAATAGAATGAGCCGATCTACTTTCCTGCTTAATCAACATTTTAAGGCCAATAAGCTCACCTTGCATATTGTTTGCTCCATCATAGTATTGGCCACGAACATATGATAGACTTAAGGAATGTTTAGCAAGTAAATCAACAATTGCCTCCTTTAAAGATGAAGCACAAGTATCTTTGACATGAACAATATCAATAAGTCGCTCCACCACAAATCTCATTCTATCAACATATCGTAAGACAATAGCCATTTGCTCCTTTCGCGACACATCAAAAGATTCATCAACTAATAAGGCAAAGCAGTCACCATTTAATTCTTTAATGATAGCTTTGATTGTTTCCATCTAATTACATGCGGTCACGATATCTTTTTGAATCATGGGAGAAGTCATCTGATCATTTTGAGGAGCATATTCCAATACATAATCCTGAATTTTATCACATACCTTTGCATAGCATGAGAGAATTTCAAGAAAATTACCCCTGTTAAATGATGTTTTAGATTCATCATGACCCCGAAATGTAAATTCTTGTTTCAAAAGAAGTCTCACTGCATTAATTAAAGCAGTTAAGCGAATCTTGTAATCATGCTTAACTTGATCAGATTGCCTCTCAAATGCAATTATGGAATGTTGTTGTTGTAGTAGATCTATACATTTCCTTTTTGCGTGATTATGATTGCTACTTGGCCCACCAACATGCTTATCAAATTAAAGCTCTTCTTTTTGTTCCAACTCTTAAACCCTATGCTAGAAAATACATCACCTCCACCTTGATGAATATTATCGTCTTTAAACAAATAAAAACTCAAACAATATGCTGCATCGTT